CTGGGGCAGGCTGCTCAGCTTTGCTCCATTCCTCACCAGCTGGATGTGACCATTGAACTGGTCCTAAGAGAAAGAATGAAGAAAAAAAAAAAAAAACCTAAGGGGGGGGTGGGGGGAGATTATCAACCCCATTGGTCCGAGAGTCTCCCTCACCCCCAGCATGCGGCGTGCCATAGCTGCCTTGGTGAAGGGCCCGAACATCAAGCACCAGCTGGCTGATTCCGCACCCTACCAGAGCTACAGTTTTGCTGGACTGGACCGTACGGGGGAGGCAAAGGAATTATTTCTTACGTACAAGCCTAGCCCCATCCCCCGCTGCCATACGGGGCCTGTGCACAAACTGGCACTCCAGATACTGGCACAGGGCAAGCTGAGGCGTAGCTATCCATAGTCCGTGCTGAGGGGTAACCTGGGGTCACTGCATTTCTGTAGAGGACCGTGCCCCTGGAGTACAGCTCACAAACCAAAGGAAAGAGTGATGTACAAACTTTCAAATGCAATCTCAGACATCCATTCAAGTGAATCCCATACACACGACACAAGAGGAGTCAAGTCCAGGACCAAACAGCTTTACTATAGAACGTTACTTAGGAAGAAAAGAGAAACAAGCCTAAAAACCTCCTGGGGAGAAGCCGATGAGGTACTAGAGGGCGTTTTATTGAGGTTAGATATCAGCCAGATCCTCAGGTCTGCCTGAGTTGTCTTGCTTACATTTTGTTTTTAATTCCTAAGCCCTGACCCATCTGGACATGCCCATAATTAGTGTTTCCTATCTAATCAAGTTCATCTTTTACAATGCTCATTTATTTCACTGAGTGATTGCATGTCCACCATAGAATGGCCGGGCAGGGCCCAGATCATTGTACAACTGCATTGCTATAGAAAGTAGTGCAGCTATTTATGTGAGGAACAGATAGTCTAACAAACGGCCAAGTTATTGCCACAATAACATCACAGACCAAATCTGAGACTTCATTACAAAGAGAAGCTAAGCTTCTTCAGAACGTCACAAGGCAATGACCTTCAGCCCCACATAAACAAAGCCCCTGGCTGACCAAACATCTTCAAAAGCCCTATGTTAGGAAAAAGCAACAGAGGGTCCTGTGGCACCTTTGAGACTAACAGAAGTATTGGGAGCATAAGCTTTCGTGGGTAAGAACCTCACTTCTTCAGATGCAAGTAATGGAAATCTCCAGAGGCAGGGATAAAAAATCTCTCTGGAGATTTCCATTACTTGCATCTGAAGAAGTGAGGTTCTTACCCACGAAAGCTTATGCTCCCAATACTTCTGTTAGTCTCAAAGGTGCCACAGGACCCTCTGTTGCTTTTTACAGATTCAGACTAACACAGCTACCCCTCTGATACTATGTTAGGAAGAGATTTCATTGCAAATAAGATCATAAGTGTGTATTAGAACAGCCTCCTTGTATTTGGTTAGAATATTTACATGAAAGCATGTATTTACAATAGAGCAACCGAACGCCACAGACAAACACAGAGATGGGATCTGGGTATACAGCCAGCCATGAAGGCCACAAGAACCCCCAAAACTGACTATACACTCTAGGCCACAGTTTCTATTGGTCAGAGCAGCATTCTGAATTTATCTGAAAGTTTTCCTCGGTGTTTAGCTGTCCCCTAATTCAGTGCGTTCGAACTACAGCATAACAGATTTAGACTGAATCTCAGGAAAAACTTCCCGACTGTAAGAACTGTAGGACAACGGAACAAACTGCCTAAGGCGGTTTTGGAAGCTCCTTGACTGGAGGTTTTCAAAAGGAGGCTGGAGCCATCTGCCTTCAATGGTTTAGACATAACAAATTCTGCATATTAGACTAGATGACCCTGGGGGTCCCTTCTACCCCATGATTCTATGGTGTGAGACCACAGCTGAGGCACGGCCTTGTCAAGGTCATTAGCACCCGGCCATTTGGGAGTGTCCGTTTTCATGCTCATTGACAAAGTTCCGCAGTTATTCCTATCACCTGTTTAAGCAGTAAGTGTTGGCAATGTGGTTGGAGCTGTAGGAGACACAGAACAGGGACAGTGGGAATCCCGAATAGTTTAATCAAATGATCATTTAAGGGCTTGCTTGAGAACACATGACAAGACTTGCAGAATCAGTGAAGGGGATTTGGGGGGGGGAAGAAATAAACCCAATCAAGTACTTAAATTTGTTTCCATGTTCCCATTCCTCCCTCCTAAGTATTTTTAGGGGTTGCTTGATGCCCAGCAGAGACCCTACCCGGACACTTTCTTTGGTCATTCGTATCCTGTTCAGCCTCATTTCCCACTCCTGCTTGGGTCGTATGGTCTCCAGCGTGGGTGGCGCTGACCTACTCAGAGACAAGGAGAATTAAAAGGGAAAAGAGGGTTTGAGCCCGTGTTTTTTGGTAGCAAAATGGGAACAGCTACAAGCAGAACAGAGACACCTGTTTACACGTTACTCCCCATCGTTTTTCTCTCAACCCTGCCCCTCTTCCCTTGTCCCTCCATTGCAACTATAACCCACTTTCTGCTCAAAGAGAGCAGACCTTCAGGTGGTGCAGCTTGGGAGTTAGGACACAAGATGTGCATCTCCTGGATGCTGGTGAAGAAAACTACAGCACACAAACCTCAATAGATTTGGTGCATGACAGATGCTCAGCAGACAAGAGGAAAGAATATGCAGTAGCTAAAGATTAAGGAAAACACATGGAAAACTGGAACTCTACCATCCAGTGCTTTGAGGACGTCAGGCCAGGAAACCCTCACTTGGTTGTAACAAAGTCTCTGACATTCAAGCACAGACTAGTTGGGGTTTTAGGAGGGGGTGAACAGGAGTAAACGGGGTTACTTCGCTCCCTATTGGCCTACACAGAACTCACTTGAGGTAGGTGAGGTGTAGCTCCGCCTCTTTTTCGGCTTCTTCTAGTTTCAGAACCAGCAGCTCCTTCCGGCTCTCCAAGGACAATATCTAATGGAGAGAGACCACAGACATCGAGCGCATGTACTTGATTATCTCCCGCAGGCCATGTTGTTCATCCTCCCAGGTTGAGCTCGTCACTTTGCACAGTGCTTAGCACAACAGGGCCCCAATTCTGACCAACATCCATCAGCAGATCACAGTTCAGTCATTTCTCTTGCTCCCTGCGAAGAGCAAGACCCATCCAAAGAGCCGCCACTCCACTGTTCCTTTCACCCATTTTGCAGGGAAGACACATGCACGGTGCCATTCTCAGCCTGCCATGATTATTAACTCTAGGCCAGGGGTTCTCAATCCACAGCCCACTTGCGGCCCAGTCAGCACACAGCTGCGGCCCATGTGACTTCTCAGGGCCACACAGGTAGTTTATCTATTGTGTGGATGTGGCCCACATAACACACACAGAGCTGCATATGTGGCCCACAATGGTAAATTAGTTGAGAACTTCTGGTCTATGCACTGTTCTGCATCAATCCATGACTTGCAACCATGCCCTGCAGTAAGGCGGCTTATACCAACCTCTGCTTTCCAAGCCCTTTCTGTTTCCTCCAGGATGTTCCTATTGATCTCATTGTGCTGGTTCTTCAGCTTATCTAGTTCCATCTCCCAAACCTCCCTAGAAGCAAAAGCAGAACACATCACACTAGTGCCTAAACAGACATGTTGACTGGCCATCTGGGAGCTGCCAAAACATTTGGTAAGCTGCCAGTGCATTCCTTGGTTGCCTGAAGCCCAAGGATTGCACCCAGTTTGCAGACTATGGCAGCCATGACCTTCATCAGACACGTAGAGGCCGTAGAGCTCAAGACCAAACTGGGTCGGTGCGTACAAATGACCAGTCATTTCACAGCAGGACAATGAACATCTTACTCCGACATGGGCACCACTGAATCAGCCATGGAGATCCCTGTAAACTTTCGTTCCTCAAAGTTACACCTTCTAAGACGGGGTTCAAAGATGGTAGTAATGAACGGTCTGCTCTCCTTCTCTTTGTCTGTGTGGGGGGGGGGCGGGGCGGGGCGCGGCGCCTAACTATGCTGAAGGTTACCCCTTGCCAAGATTGTGTCCAAGTTTGGCAGAAAAAAAGACATGTCTGAACTAGAAAGACCTGGAAGTGACGTGGGGGTCTAGTGGATCACACATTGAATGCAAGTCAGCAAGGAGCTGCAGTTGTGAAAAAGGCTAATATCACCGTGGGGTATTAACAGGACTGTCGTATGAAAAACATAGGCGGTAACTGTCCTGCTCTACTCAGCACTGGTGAGGCCTCAGCTGCAGAACTGTCTCCAGTCCTGGGGGCCACACTTCAAGAAAGAAGTGGATAAGCTGGAGAAAGTCCAGAGGAGAGCAACAATAATGATAAAAGTCTTAGAAAACTTGACCAATGAGGAAAGGTTAAAAAACAACTGGGCATGTTTAGCCATGAGAAAAGACGACTGAAGGGGGACCTGGGAACAGTCTTCAAACACATTAAGGGCTGTTATAAAGAGGACTGTAATCAGTTCTCCATGTCCACTGAAGGTAAAACAAGAAGTAATGGGCTTAATCTGCAGCAAGGGAGATTTACGTTAGATTAGGAAAAACTTTCTAACTATAAGGATAGTTAAGCTCTGGAAGGGGCTTTCAATGGAGGTTGTGGAATTCCCGTCATTGGAGGTTTTTAAGAACAGGCTGGTCAAACACCTGTCGGGGAGGTCTAGGTTTACTGGTCCTGCCTCAGTGCAGGAAGCTAGACTAATGGCCTCTTGAAGTCCCTTCCAGATGAATCAAAACCCCTGATCCAAACAGCTCAAACTCTGAAGAAGTTCTATTTTTAGGGTCTTATATTACTGCCCATCACTATTATCTGAGCACTCAAGTTTGGCTCTGGAACAGAACTCTGAAGCTTGAACCTGTCTCTACTCAGAACATAAATACT